TGGTTTAACGAGTAAAAAATAATTTGATAACTTAGAAAACAAATGAAATATTACTTTTGAGATTGTTGCCCTTTAGTACTTTGGCTAACATTACAATTGTAATGAGTCAACCTAAGGAGTTGGCCTCTTTCCAACCTTCCATCGCTCACGCTTTTTAAAAGGTTAACTGGGATAATGCCTGTGGTATGATAAGAAAAATGATAAATATTTTATTCATGAAATAATTGTAAAAAAAAAAAATAATAATAATTTGATTTATGACCTGATACAAGTTCATGTCCGTCAGAAAAAGCTACTCTATATACGAAATATAGAAATACAAATATTAAATTAACAAATATATAGAACGAGTGAACAGTGCTTAGAATAAAAACGCGTCGTAACTTAAATGATTTTAAAAATAACCAAGCAGAAACTTGGTTTCATATAGAAATAAACGTACCTAACTCTTGTTTGAAGTGATTCATTTGGATTAGCCTGATTTGCGGAAAATCTTACCACCTGAAGTATAGGATTCTCTGGCTTTCGCCTATCCTCATCGAACATTTCTTTAATAACTCCGGCACTAAGAAGTTCAGACATGACTAAAATATAGTAAAGTAGTTAATTGTGTTTGTCGTGATTGTTGATTTTTCGCGTTCTTAAATACAGTATTCTTATAATCTCACGTGAAAACCGTAAATGGTAGGTATTGTAACCTGCGCAAAAGTTTCATTTTTGATAAATCTACGTTGTACTCGCACGTATGGATTCTGTGCCAGGTAGGGTGCAAAATGGGCCGGGTCGGGTCGGGTTTTCTTAGACCTGAAACTAAGCCTGAAAATTTTTTTTTGTGCCCGATTAAAAGCCTGAGCCCGACAAAAAGCCCGCCAAGCAAACCGGGCCGGGCTTTATTTTAAATTAGGCCCAAGCCCGGTCTAACCCGCTAATTCATAAAGATTTTAGTTAATTATATCAGTGCCGCCAATTAGAGCATTATATCTTGATTTTTCTGGTGCAGAATAAAATCATATAGTATATAGATAATAATAAGATTGTAATTGGAATTACTTGGTTAAAAAAAAATGATGTTTTTCTAATCCATTTCCTATATACTCTTTAAATGTATATGGATACTTATGTAGTTTCTGTGAATTAAAGGATCTTCGTTATTATACGTTTTTTTTTTTTAATGTTTCATATAATTTATTGTTTAGAAATTACTAAAACCCTAAAGTGGTAAACTAATTTATTAATCATAGTATAATTTGAACATAAATGTTAAAAGTGTAATAACATTGGTGTAAATTTATTGAATGCATTTCAAAAACCTCTTATTCGGCTTTCTCAACTTCAACATTACAATCATATTCTCTTTCAAGAAATTGTGTAAAATCTTGAATCAAATTTGCAGCCATTCTACTATTCCAATAATTGTTTAATACATAATAATATAAGAACTAAGTAAATGTATAGCTTTGCATCTGAAGCTAAATATTCGATTATCAGTGAAATGTGTTCCAGACAATTAAATTTGCGATTTTTTTTTTTATTTTTTTATTTTTTTTTTTTT